GAAACCGTATCAAATATCAAATGGCACAAAGCTGTGACAAGTCTTAAATGGCACGAAGCTACGTTTTGCTCCAATGACATAAAGTCCTTGCCCGCACGAGCTGAAACTGCATAAGGCACCAACAGCTCTAATGGCTCAAAGTCCTCGCTTGCATGAGGTAAAACTGCACAAGGCATCAAATGCTCATTGCCTGCACGAGTTAAAATTGCACAAGGCATCAAACCCCAACAAATACATAAAGAACTACGAGTGATTTGATCCCTCAACGAGGGTACGTAGGTAATTTAGGGCTCGACCTAGGTGCAGTCGCAAAATCAAACACCCAAATCCCCAAGTTACGATTTATTCATATTAGAATCAAAGACTTTTTTTCCTTTTAATGAATGATTGTAATTAATAGACGCATAGTCTAGAATAGGTCGAACTCAAATTAATAAAACTCTCTTTGAAAAATGAATGAGAGTGAAATTATATCGAGTGAATTATTTGTTTACATATTGTATACAATTTTTGCTCAACACTCACAATGAGAATTCTCCTTGAAAAAACAAATGAACAAGAAAAAGTATGAAAATATGTAAATTGCGTTTGCCGGGAGTCGAACCCGGGTCTATTGCTTGGAAGGCAATTATCCTAACCGTTGGACTACAAACGCTTGACTTAACATTCTTTCAGATTGTGAGGTAATATAATAATATTTTATGTTTATATTAGATAATATAATGATCATTGCCGAAGGAAAATTTGAAAGGCAGGTTTATAGGCTTTGTTCAAATGAATGTTAACTGAGATCTATAGGCCTTGTCCACTAAAATTCAGAGATGACTAACTTAACAGAAAATTCTAAGGCTCGATCATCAAATTAAGTGGTTGTTCGACAACAAACAAACAAACTTTGTTTCTATGTTAGGTAATTATCAACTGACATACTCATAGTTAAAAAAGAACCATACACAACCGCGCCCAGCCTACATAAGAGCTTGGCCCAACTGAAGGCATCATATTTCTCAATGTTCCATCCACACCCTTTTTTACATCAGATTATTTTGGGTGGTTAAAACTTGGAAATCATATGCTCATAAAAAACCTACCACACCCAAAGAACCACTCATAAAAACACAGTGGGAGTGGGAGATGACAAGAGAGTTCCCGCCAAGTTTGCCGTTGGTAAAAAAAGTGTGAAAGGGGGTGGCATCCAAAGAGTGCTCCCTCTTGTGCCAAAATCTCCCCTATAAAAACCAACTCCATTTCCACACATTCACCTAACTCCCATCTCCCTCCTCCCTCCTCCTTCCACCCTTCCTTTCTCTCTCTAGAAAATCAAGTTTGCAGAAACCATATCCAAACTACCACTTTTTCTCATCAAAATCTTAGGTAGTTTACTTGCTTATTTTTCTCTTTTGGGATAGGAAGTGTTTAGCTAGGGTTTCAACCCAACCATGCATTTTTTACTGCAACTTTTGTTTGTTATCCTTCTTTTTTCCTCTTTCATTTGATTAATTTGTGTTTTTCTTTTACAATGTCGTTGGCAGTGATGGAAGCTGTGTTCCTCAACTCTTTCTCACCGCCGTCAGCAGTCGCACCGGATAAAATCTTGAGTGTGTGTGATCATAAGAGGAATTGGTGCTTGTTGAGGAGAAAAAAGAGTGTGGTGTTGTGCCAAGGGTCAAGTAGTGGCAATGTTGTAAAGACTGGCGGGTTTTCTTCCGCGGCAGTGATGGATGCCGGAAGCCTGGTTTTGACTCCGAATGATCAGAAGAGCCCGAAAGAGAGTAACATCGCAGTGAAGGATTTGGTGCCTTTTGGTGGCTCATCGTCCTCCTCTTTGGTGGAGATGCATGATGGCATTGGAATTGTAAAATTTCTTAGAGGAAAAGGGTTTTTCATAACTGGTGCAACCGGGTTTCTAGCAAAAGGTAAGAACTTTCTACTAAATACAGACAGAAAATGTATCTTTGATCATACTTTTGATGTTTTTTTTTTCTTTGTTTAAGTTTGATCTCTTCTGATGTGTTGTGTACATTTATGTTGTTCTTTTTTGTTAAACATCTAGTTCTTATCGAGAAGATATTAAGGACAGCGCCGGATGTGGGGAAGATATTTCTATTGATCAAGGCGAAAAACAAGGAAGCTGCAATGGAAAGATTAAAAACTGAAGTACGTTTTTCTCTAATCTATTTATTTTTCTTCTATTTCGTTGCTCTTACTTTCAACTCTGATGTGCGCGGTTGTGATTGCGTAGATCATAAATGCAGAGCTTTTCAAGTGTCTAAGACAAACTTACGGAAAATCTTATCAATCCTTCATGTTAAGCAAGCTAGTTCCTGTGGTAGGAAATGTGTGTGAATCAGATCTTGGCATAGAAGATGATGTAGCCGGTTTGATTGCGAAGGAAGTTGATGTAATTGTAAATTCTGCAGCCAACACTACATTTCATGAAAGGTTAAATGGCCTTTTACATCCTAAGATTCTCATTTCTTCGCTACATGTATACGAATTCCTCCTAACAATTGAGTTCGGATTGTGATATATTTTCGCTCCGTTCTGTTTTTTAGATATGATGTAGCTATAGATATAAACACAAAAGGACCTTGCCACCTTATGGCCTTCGCAAAGAAGTGCAAGAAACTTAAGCTCTTCCTGCAAGTTTCCACCGGTAAGTAACACAAAGCTGTGATTTCTTCTATGGAACTGCTTTTGCCAACTCGAATTTTAATTAAGGATTGATGCTTTTGTCCTCTCATTTTCAGCTTATGTTAATGGACAAAGGCAAGGGAGAATTATGGAAAAGCCATTTTATATTGGCGAAAGCATAGCGGGCGAAAGTCACATATCTGAAACCCCACCAGGATTTTTTTCCCTAGATGTCAAAAATGAAATAAAATTGGCTTTGGATTCCAAGGGAGCTTATGAAAATAATGAGGTTGCTCAAAAGATGAAAGAGTTGGGTTTAGAAAGGTAATGGCTTCAACTTTTTAACATGACAAAACTAAGACCTGAATTAGATTGATTATTGTTTTAACATTACAAAACTATCATCTAATCAGGGCACGAAAGTACGGATGGCAAGATACGTACGTGTTCACCAAGGCAATGGGTGAAATGATGATTGATAACATGCGAGGTGACATACCCGTAGTCATAATCCGGCCTAGTGTCATCGAAAGCACTTGCAAAGAGCCATTTCCTGGTTGGATGGAAGGAAATAGGTACATCTTAATTGTGTAGTTTACCCTGAAGCAAAAACGTCATCTACATTTTTCAGATTTACATCAGCTTTGAAATAAACCTCTGCTGTTCCGATTTTCGCAGGATGATGGATCCAATAGTTTTGTACTATGGAAAAGGGCAGCTCACAGGTTTTCTAGTCGATCCAAATGGAGTACTCGATGTGGTAATGACTAGTTTTCTTTTCTTAAATTTGCCCTTAGGCATGGTTGGTTGCTTTTATGACATTGACATGGTGAAATATGTGCCACCTATGCATATACACACAAACATGTATGTATATGTGTGTATCACATGTTCATTCACTGAATTTTAGTTGGAAATTGGCATGACATGCTAGCAGGTTCCAGCAGACATGGTTGCTAACGCAACGTTGGCGGCGATTGCAAATCATGGAATGGCTCAGAAACAAGACATAAACATCTACCAGATTACTTCGTCAGTTGCAAACCCTTTAGATTTCCAAGAACTGAGTGAACTACTCTATGAGCATTACAACTCCTCGCCGTGCAAGGACGCGAAAGGCAGGCCAATCCAAGTTCCATCGATGAAACTCTTCAGCTCGATGGAAGATTTCTCTGCTCACATTTGGAGAGATGCCCTCCAACGAAGCGGGTTGACAGCGTTGTCTTCCTCGAACGGGAAGCTGTCTCAGAAGCTAGAAATGATTTGCAGAAAATCAGTTGAGCAAGCAAAGTACTTGGCTGGCATTTATGAGCCATATACTTTCTATGGTGGAAGGTATGATACTGCATAATCCTTTGATATTCTAAGCTACTCTGATTAACGGGAAGGAGATCAAACTCAAGTGCAAGGGAAGCACACTCCAACCGGCCCAATCCACTCAAGTAGTGTGCTCCCCTATGCACCTACATCCGAATTCTCCGTAGTTTAAGTTGAATTAACATATCGCTCGAGTAAAAGAAAAACACATGAATTTTAATTAATAAAAATTGGTGCAGGTTTGACAACAGCAACACTCAGAGACTGATGGAGAGGATGTCAGAGGAAGAAAAGAGGAAGTTTGGATTTGATGTTGGAAGCATAGATTGGAAGGACTATATTACAAATGTCCATATCCCAGGTCTTAAGAGGCATGTCTTGAAGGGCAGAGGGGGTTTGTAGCTCAAACAAAATGCTGCCTGCCTTGTGGCCCTAATCAAAATATCTCAAGCCATGCAACTAGTTTGTAATAAGCCACATTATTTTCCATTTTTCTTTTTTCTCTTTTCTTCTTTTTAATTAGCCTATAAATCTGGTGGGAGGGAAGGTGCAAAAAAGAAGTGTTGCCTTCGCTCTCCCAGTGTACTCTATTTCATTAAACTTCTATGATGCAAGAAAGAAATACAAATGTTCAATCACAAATTCTGGAGTGACCGTCTCGCTGCTAGCAATACTATATTATTTGTGTCATTGATGCCTCGTTAAATCTTTAAGGTTTTAAATTTATACACATAGACGATCATCAATATAATTTGTAAATTGTAATACAATCATGATTCAAAGTTAAAGATGAAATTATATTTTATTTTTCTCATTTTACAACTGACGTTCATAATATTTGAAGTTTTGAACTTACAACCTCCTTGCTTCTGTTTATAATTTTTTTAATAATAAATTATTAGTTTGGCAATATTTTTTTTGTCAAATGTTATATTTATTAAGTTAGATGTTAAATTAAAGAATTAAACTCACGCTGTGATGTGAGGGTAATACCAAGGGCCACTTGTATTAGTTTGGCAAATATTTGGCAACATTTTGGAAAGTGGGACGTTCTTTCCTGCGGAAGACATTTCTCTGCCAGTCAAAATCTAACTACAATTGTCCAACGAACAAATTGTTTTGCCAAATCCAATTCCTACCGCTTGTTTTCAATTTCGGTTTCTTTGATTTGAACAGGGAAAGAAAAAGAGAAGGTTCGGTTTTCTTTGTTTTCTGCGACTCTCATAGTCTCCTTCTTGTTCTTCTTCTCTCTGAGACAGAGAACGCGGAGAGAGAGAGAGAGAGAGACCGGAGAGAAGGGAATGGAAAGCATAGCAGTGTGGCAAGGGGCAACACTGTGCGGGATTGTATCCTGGGTGATAGTAGCTTCATATCTCGATGTGACCCGAAAGCTTCGATCTTTGCTGCAACCATGGGTGGCCCACCATGTCACCGCCGGCACTCCTCTCATCCTCCAGATCCAGGTTTCCCACCTTCAAATCCAATCCGGCCCAGATGATCATTTTTCTTCTGTTCCATCAAATTTCAAATTTTATTTGACTTTTTCAATTTTTTGGATTTGGGTTTTTGTTGGGTTTTTTTTACAGAATTATCAGCATAGATTCTTGGATGCTTTCTTCTCTGCCTTGTCATGTGTTGTTTCTGTGCCATTTTACACTGCTTTTCTTCCTTTGCTTTTCTGGGTAAGCTTTTTCTTCTTACTTTAACAAAGTGAATTTTGGTTCCTTTGGTTGTTAATATGCCATTTTTGAGCTGTATGTTTGTTATGTTAATCGACATTCTGAGAATTTCTTGTCGTTGTTGCTTTTCGTTGACGGTTTTTAGAGCGGGCATGGAAAATTGGCTAGACAAATGACTCTGCTGATGGCTTTCTGTGATTATATGGGGAACTGCATAAAGGTAATCACTTTCTTTCTTACTGTTTAGTTTTTGTATTCGGTAAGTGCTTTAGTTTCTGGTATCAAGTTATATATTTTTCGGCTTTGTGTGTTTATAGGATGTGGTATCAGCTCCTAGACCTCGTTGCCCACCCGTTAGAAGAATAACCGCTACGAAAGATGAGGAAGATAATGCTTTGGAATATGGATTGCCATCTTCTCACACTCTAAACACAATTTGCTTATCCGGGTATCTACTTGTCTTCTTGCCCATGCAGCTTGTTTTTCAAGCATAAATTTTTTTGCAGAGCTAATGATAAATTGTTTCAATTTTAGTTAAAAGGTTATAAACCGTGTGTTGCTGGATCCTGATTTTGAACATATATTCTGAATGAATCGGGACGGTTGGTTCACGCTTATTTCCCCAAGCTCTCGATTTATCAATTTGAGGCAAAACTTGTGTTATTCAAGACTAACTAGCATTTTAGCCATGAATCGTCAACCCATGCATCAGAAAGTCAAGCGCATGCTGTATGAATTACTGTCATGTATGTACTAATCGTTTGCTCTTGGGTTAGGGGTTTCCAGATTCCTTTTGCATTACATCCTATCGTATTCTCAGAATGAAGATGCCCATGTTAAAATTGCTGGATTGGCTCTTGTTTGCTTGCTTGTGGGTTTCATTGGTTTAGGTGAGTTTATCTTTTTCTATGAGTTGTCTACAGCTTCTTTATATTTATTGTTTAATCCCGAAGCTAACTTGTGTTTTATTGATAGGAAGAATTTATCTCGGCATGCACAGTCCTATTGATATCATAAGTGGCCTTGCTATTGGATTGGTGATTCTTTGGTTCTGGCTCAGTGTTCACAAATATGTTGACAGTTTTGTAGTCTCGGGACAAAATGGTACGCACACTACAAGTCATTTAACTCATATATTGTGGTTGAAACAACCTATAGCACAAACCTAAGCGTTTAAAGAACTTAATAATGCAAGAAGAGACTGCAACAGTCAGGTGGTGAGCTTGAAAATACACAGATATGACCACCACATGCTCTCTTGCAAGTCAGAATTTGGAATACGGAAGCTTTCAGAAGGCGTTACCAGCCTTACAAAGCATTCTGTGAATATCCTTGTAGGACTGAAATAAGCATGGAACTCGGTCTGATACATGAGATACATGCATCCGACATGGATAAGAGGTTTCTAGAAATGCTTTCAGTATCATGTTAGAGTAGGGATGGCAACAGTTCGGTTTGGGGACGGAAATGCTATATCCATCCCCATAACCACGAAAATTAACCATGCAAGTTAACCATCGGGTATAATCCATAACCATACCCACTGGGTAACGGATTCCTCATCGGTTAACGGGTATTGCAGTTACATCCTTGTAAAGTCCGTATCCGTATGTAATCTTAATGCACACTGTTTGTATTGCAGTTACATCCTCTTGGGCTGCCCTAAGCTTGATACTGCTTTTTGCTTATCCAACTCCTGAGTTCCCAACTCCAAGTTTTGAGTACCACACAGCCTTCAACGGCGTTGCATTCGGAATTGTAAGTAATCGATGATCCCTTAACATCAGAATTGTAATTGTTGCTAAATTTGCATATTCGTTTACTATTACACAAGCATTATCTTATCAGGCCATTTTTATATTATCATGTTAAAACTTTTTTTTTTTTTTTGGAAATTCATGCAAAAGTTTCTGTCGGAGTTTATTTTCCGCCCCCGTAATGTTGATAACTAAAAACAACAATGTTATCCAGGTATCTGGGGTCCAGCAGACGTACCATCAGTTCCACCATGAAGCCGTTCCACGTGTATTTACATCACAATTAACCGCCCCTGGCTTTATGGGAAGAATGCTTGTGGGAATACCAACCATACTTATCGTGAAGTTCTGTAGCAAAGCTCTTGCTAAATGGATTCTTCCAGTGCTGGCCAACACCCTCGGTATCCCAATAAGATCAACCACTTACGTCGCATCGCTAAAGGGATCGAGTGATGGCAAAAAATCAGATGGTTTGAAGCAATCGGGTTATGTCCAAAAGCTGTTCATTTTCTCCAGCCAAGAATCGTTTGACGTTGATACAGGCATAAGATTCCTTCAATATGCCGGCCTGGCATGGTCCGTCGTCGATCTTGTTCCTTCCCTTTTCTCTCATCTAAGATTGTAGGTAATGCTTCATTATTCATATTATTAGAATATGCACTCGCAATTTTCCAAATGGAAATATGCTCTCTGTCCGGTTTTGTTAAATGCGTATATGTTGCAGTAATGAAACATATTGATTTTGCTATTCCCATGGAAACCTCTGAAGAGTTGCACGAATGATTTTGCTATTCATTCGAGAGCTGCAGACATTTGAAGTTACAGTATACCCGAAATGCGAATATCGGAGGAAATGAAAATGGTTAAGGGTGTTGCAACTGTTGTAACAACGCACTATTCCTATTAATTTGTTTGTAAAAAACGCTATATTCCTTATTAATTAGGGACACATGCTCTTAACTACTTAAGCTACAAGCTCCGGTGTTGGCTATCTTCAAACACTCAAAGCTCTTTGTTCGACACGTTTTGTATCCTTCAAAGTTCGGAGCCTTGAAGTACAAGATAAACTAAACATCTCCCAATGAAGAAACAGCTGCGGAAGAGTAGTCTACAAAACAAGCACTTGGATTTTCACAAGAAGACCATGGGCAATGGCTTCAAAAGTGCACGGGCACAGCGAGAACCCAAGGACGTTCAAGATCCTGCGGTCTTGTGCAAGTGGGTGAGCAAGTATGAGCACAAAATGCCATGATATTGCAAAAACATCGAGCAATCGAAGAAAAGAGCAAAACATCCACTAATAATAAAGTCCCATGCACCCATGGGAAGGGTGAGCAAAACGTACAAGGCGAAAAAGAACGAAAATACAAAAACGAAAAAGGATATCCACATCTTCTGCTGCTGGATATGATACAATAATTACGATGAGTCAACAGCTAGGCGAACTATTCGATGGGAAATCCAGCAACGTTCTAGTGTAAGACAAATCAGCAGGCACCTTACCTGTGTATTTTACATCGGTCTTGGAATCCTATGACCTAGATTGCAAACCCAATAGTCATCTTGTGCAAAAACAATGTGCTACCCCAATCGTGGAAGAGTGGAAGAACCACAAAATAAATGACACCAATGCAGTAGTTTCAAAGAAAGTAATCGGGTGTTCTACGGGTAACATCTGGCTCTCCTCTCCTCGGAGCTGGCTCAAACTGCAAAAACGTAAAGCATATTTTGAAGCACTCGCAAAATTTATCAAACTGTGCCTTACCACTTATTTACTTATGACCCTCTGTGTGTGTGTGAGTGAGTGAGAGAGAGGGGGAGACCGAGAGAGAATGAATACCTGAATGAAGGTATGGCCCCTGCAGTCATCGACTTCTAAAACAGAAGCCATGTTCCCGCAGCGATAGCAATAATTAGGTGCACTAAATATAGTAACCACCTTTTGTTCCTGTCCAAACAAAACAACGTTATATAAATAGACCTCATCCGCTGTGTACCAAAGTAGACGATAAAATATCCCCATTTTACAGATAAAAAATTACATGTGCCCAGTTGAATCCATCCATGACCAACTGATGAGCTCTTGCAATCAACTTTAAATTGTTTGTATGATTAAACTGTTCAGATATATCCTGCAAAAAGGAATCGAGTACTTTGACCAGTAAGAACTACATATTCCACAATGCAAACATCATATACAGTATATGTTAAGATGTCAATTAGAACTCTGGGCAGTGTAATATCTTCAAAAATAAGAGTCCAACGAAATATTTGATGTTACCTGGCCAAAAGTATATCCTGCACCGCGAGGCGAAATACCCCAACCACATCGGTCATCTGGGTCAGACCATAACAGATCACACATCGGCCCTTCATGTGGAACCTCTTGAACACGATCAAAATTCCTTATGTTATCAAGGTTTTCAATTGAAGGGGACAATCCACCATGCAGGCAAAATATTTCTGACTCGACCTAAGAAGGAGAAATAAGCACATAGGAGTATCATAATAGGAAATCCACATAAGTACTTCAGGAAGGCAAACTGAGACTTGCTCACTATCCACACTATTATTACAGTGAGCCCATCAATGGGTAAAAGTGAGTCTAAACAAGCAGCAAACAAACAGGATCAGCTCAAATTTTATAAAGAGAATCTGAAAAAGGTACATCTCTCCTAATTTTTATCTTCTATCAAGATTCAAGAATGTTAGTACTTGCAGTGTTTTGAACTACCGCTATTCTTCTCTAACACGGAAAAACATCTTGAAGAGTTGTCCACTAATTACTAAAGTGTGCTTAATAAATGAGCAAGGTGAAATTAAATTACAGAAAACCACAAAAGCAACTCAGAAATTTATTCTGTTTATGAAAATCGTCAATCCATCTGTATCCAAAGTAGTAACACATCATTTAATAGCAACCAAGTGGAAAACAAATACTCACCAATGCTGTCAGTGGAAAGTAGTCAAAAAGGTCAGTGAAGATCTTCCAAACATTGGCATTGCCATACCTGTAAGTGAATAATCAGACAATGCACTGTCATTGATTTGCCAGAGGAGCTAGAAGCAGATTGTTCTACATGCATAAATTGTTGGAAACCGCCACATAAACTACAATTTAATCTAAAACGCTAAAATACGACAAACTAAAACAATCTTTACATCACAATAGTAGATAGAAATGCCAAACCAGTACCCAAATGACGAACAAACAAGAGGCCTTAAGAGAATGATACAGAAGTGAAAGTCCATCAAGAGTGATAACCTCATGCTCTATTGCATCAGGTGTTGAACCATGCCACAAACACAAACAGACTACAGTAGGAAGGATTCAGCATAATCTAATAGAGGCTTCAAAAACTGCAGTGTCCTGTAATTATAAGAACTCAAGACTTCACATCTTGTTGAGACGATGATAAGAAACAAACCGAATGTTTTAAAGAGAAGCAGTTCCTGACAGATTGTTTCAAGCAATATTATGGCTAAATAGCATCTCGATAACATATATATGCAATAAATTAATATTAATATCTTCAATAAGGTCTTGCATAATTTGTGAGCTAGCACACCAGTTGGTTTGTTTATCATACATAAAGCTTATGCTAACCAGAAGAATAAAAACTTCATAAACCTTGATTGGAGTAGTACTAATATGCCTTCTATTGTAAACATGAAATGGTACTAATATTCCCTCAATTGATGAAATGGTACTAATATTCCTTCAATTGACCTCAGTCCAAGGCAGAAGAAGTATTCAGACTCACATGGAGTTTACATCCAGATCTGGGGTAGTAACTCCAAGGGACTTTAGCAAGTATTCATACTTGCTTGTTTGAGTCTTACTGTCCAATAATGAGTCCAATAGTCCCTAAGTTTCAATCCTCTTATTATTTGGTTTAACTAATGTAATTCCCCTTCTTCAATACCAATCATTTGTGGTTATGGATGTTTTCCTGCTTCCAACATGAAACTAATACAGTCATAAGTTACAAACCCATATCCATTGACATAGGCGTTCAAGGTAAGTAGTATTTTCAAAACATGGTTATTTAGCGTGCAGAATACTCACTTTCGGAGACACTCATCATAAAACCCATAAACCTGAGTAATCTGTGAAAAAAAAGAAATGAGTATGAAGTTATAATCCACCATAATGATTCCAGATCAATGTTCCAGCACAATTTAAACTTCACAAATGCAGGGTAAATTACAATGTTGTAAAAAACCAGCATTCAAAAAAAAAAAAAATGAAAAGAAATTTGAAGTTTGAACAGAATATACTTTTGTTTTCTACAGGCTCAATATTAGTTGTAACAAAATAAACAAAATATTAGCACATTTGCTGAAAGCAAAATGAAACCAGACAACATAAAATGGCGAAAGATAAAATACCTGGCGACTTTCATGGTTTCCTCTGAGAATAGTGATTCGCTGAGGATAACGCACTTTCAGGGCCACTAAGAGCTGGATGAATAAAATAGCCATTATCAGCAATAAATTTTGAAAGTGTAAAACAATAAAAAATTGCTAAACAAATTTCAGATGCCATGCATATTAAAGGAGGAATAATCCAGTTTCATCCTAAGCCGGTCAAAGTTGCCATTTGAAACAATTTGGTTTTGGCCCCTAAGGTATCGTTTGGTATGCAGACGGGATGGGACGGGACGGGACGGGACGGGACGGGACGGGACAAGACAGGACAGAACGGAGAGGGAGCAAAGATGCCCTCGGATGGAAACAAGGAGGAAGAAGAAGGAGACGGAGAAGTTATAATTTTGTGTTCCACGGATGTGGAACGAGTCGTTCCAGGGGGTGAGGTGGAATGAAAATTCACCCAAAACTTGTCCCATGGAACAGCACGTTCCACCCTTTTTAGGTGCACCAAACGTGGGACAGAACGCTCCGTCCCACTCCGTTCCGTCCCGTCCCACGTACCAAACGGTTCCTAAAAGAACTGTCTAGCCAAATTGTGACCGGCACCCTTATATGATGATCAACAAAGCACTCACCCCATATGCGAGCTGAATTTCATAGATTGTCACCCAGTTTCAAGAAAAATGGATTGACTGACAAAATAAGAGATAGTGACTTTTATTCAAATGTAAAGCATTCACATGAAAGTATACACACAGACATATGGTAGTATGGGAACAACTCTACAGCAGTACTTTTCATAATCGTAAGAAAATCCAAAAGATTGAGGGTTGCATACCGTCACAGTTTCAACAGAATAATAGCCGCGGTCCACATAATCTCCCATAAACAAGTAATTGGTATCAGGACACTGTCAAAGAAAATGATAAAATTAGAGCAAACCCTCAACAAGAATATTGGCAATAAAATCAACAACATGGCAGATACCAATGGGAGGAAAAAGAACAAGGTAAGCAGAACAAGTAAGGGAACAAATTTGAACACCACAAAATGATACAGATTAGGTCTAAGGGAAAGAGTTATAATTAATATAACAAGCAGCACTCGACAAAGTCAGTATCCATCATCTGAAATAGAAGAGTTGAATACAAAAAGGTCATAGTCAGAGCTGATACCTTCCCTCCAATTCGGAAAAGCTCTGCAAGGTCGTGAAACTGCCCATGAATATCTCCACAAATTGTCACTGGGCTTTTCACAGGCTGTAAGTACATGTAAATAAAAAATAATTAGTGTCTACCCATATAATTTGAAATGAAGAACAAAAATAACGCTTTTTACCATACAAAATGCAATAAACAGTGAAATATGTAATGTAAGACAAATATAACAAGAGACACTAAAGCCCAAAATCTTCACCTGAACATTGCTTTCTCCCATTAGAATTTCCTTTGCTTTTTCGCATAACATTCTCACCTACAATGAAGCAACGAAGAAGAGATCATGTACAGGTACTTTGATTAACTTTTTTACCAAGAGAAAATGGAGAAGATAGAAAATTGAGAACTTTTTTTGCACTCATTACAAAACTTCAAAAGGAAAAGAGTAGGAAGTAGATGTTGACGAGGAACGGTTCTGATACTGGTAAATCTTAAGATGCAAGTGCACCAATTGTGCAATCGTGACAATTTCAGAGTTTCCCATGTACAAAATCATCAAATTTCATTGCCTAACAATATTTACCCTATTTCCATTAAAAACTCTAAATACCGGGCATCTCCCTCCAAATCATGAGAAAATGATTCATACTAAAACTGCTTATGGCAAAACAAAAATTCCATATCAAAGAAACTTTTGTATCACTACTAATAGAGCTCATGAGTTGTCCCAAAAATTGGTAAACAAATCAAATGCACAAAAAATTTGAGACCAAGAAAGGCTTTTGATAATAATCACAATAAACAGAACCTGAATTACATCACTACAAACATTCAACTAGAAATCCCCCATTTGATCTCTAAGGAAACCAAGAAAAGTAAAGAACTTTTTCCCTCAAGAAAATACACACACAAAAATTCAACTAGAAATTCCAATCCCCACGGATCCAACAGCAAATCAAGAAACCCCATGATCCCATTTTCCCTCCCAAATTTTCCAGGCAACCAAACAGACACCAACCCAACCCTAATCCCCAAATTCCTCAATAAAACACCGCTCAATCACCAAAAGAAAGAAAACGAAGAATGTGTAACAGAACCTGTTGCTCCGAGAGTGGCTTGCACTGCATGAGTTGCTCGATCTGCTCGTTGAGATCGCTGTTCGTGTCCGACGATACCGAATTCACGCCCATCTTGCTTCTCTCAACTTCGAATTGGAAAATCGAATTGGGGATTTTATTGGTATCCGGATTAGGGAGGATTAGGGATAACCCTAACCCCAGATTAGGATATTGGTGCCAGTCCTCACACTCTGATCCTGCTTAAACCAGAGGTGGAGAGGACGGAGACAAATCTAAGGAGAGAGCGCGTGGAGGAGGGAAGTGAATTTGTAGGCTCTTCCGCTGCCACGCATTTATTGAATTACGTAATTGTCCCTCTGCGGTTTCAATTTTTAAACTGCATGCCCTTCGTTTTGTTCGTGTGGGCTTTCTCTTGCAATTGTGAGAGGCCCGGCCCAAACCCATGCTATCGGCACAACCCATGTTTAAAATATAGGGTCTCACACCGCTTGATCGTCAAATCGGATAAATTAAAGAAGATCAAATAACAAAAATTAACAAGGAATGTGTAAGAAGTAAAAATGGGTGTGTAGATATCACACTCCAAAATAAATTGGGAGCTACTAGACCCACCCACATTTCTTGTTTCCCCACCCTCCTTATTTTCCGCTATGAAACTGTATTAGGGTTAATTTTTAAGGAAAACTAATCAAAAGGACTTCAAAACTTTGAGTTTTAATAAAAATAAAAAAACCATGTTGTAAGTTTATTTAATGGTTAGTATAAAACCCACTTTTAAATGAGCTCAACTTAAATGGCCCAACCTAAATAACAAGTTGATTTGTCAATTTTGCCCCTAACGGTTTTAGGTTAACTTACATTAATTAATCTGTTAGTTTAGTTACTTTGAAATTAGCACAACCGACTCGAATGGCTCGTTTTTTTGCTAAAATGTTGCAGAGTTCTTCACTTTGTAGATTTTATTTTTTTTCGTGAATTGGGCGAAGGTTTTGAGATTCTATTTTTTTTTTGAAATCTTGATTTTTGTGTTGTTCGTTTAGGTCTTTCAAAGTAAGAATTATTCTTCAATTGAAGGTTCGTTAAAGGTTCTTAGATTTTTTTTTCTTCCAAAACTGAAGGTTCTGAGATTTTTTTTTGGATTCGTGATCTTTGTTGTTGTTCATTGTTTCACTAGAGTTATGTAATTGATTGCCGTTCTTCATAGTTTCGTTGTTTGGAGGTAATTGGCACTGCATTACAGGTTTTGAGATTCTAGTTTCATAGTTTTTTGAGTTTTTGCATTGATTGATATATTTTGTCTTAATTTGTGTTTAAATTACAATATATCAGGCAATTGATTCCTTTTTTTTTTTTTTTTTTTTTTTTTTTTTGAAATTTTCAGTTTTGATCTTACTGTTTTGAAGACTTTGCAAGTAGTCTTGATTTGTTCATCACGCTGTATGTGTTTAATTTTTCATAAATAGTGGATGTAGTTTTATAATAGTTTCTGAAACAGTTATTATTATAGTACTTTTTAGCTTTTTAATTTTGTTTTAGAAATATTGTTAGTTTTTTTGTTCATTTTATGTGAATATGATTTATGAAATAGTTATTGTTTTGTTTTACAAATATTAGGTTTTGTTTTGCAACAGATTACTAAGCAGTTTTGGTTGTGTGTTACATTTTGTCTTTGTGTGTTTAATTTTCATAAATAGTGGATGTAGGTATTATACTAGTTTCTAAAACAGTTATTATTATAGTACTTTTTATCTTTTTTGTGAAATCTCGTCCCCGAAATTTCACTATTCATTACGTATCTCGTTATTACAAACGACTGAATACATGCGTAATAAAAATTGGAACTTGGAACCAAAAAATTTTTACAAAACAAGTATCGATCATTTTATTCAAAGTAGAGGGAAAAGATAATATCACTATATATAAAATATTAATGATAGAATAAAATAATAATAAAATAAGAAAGTGAGGAAGGGTGGAGAACCATCGAGAAAAAAAAAAGAAAAAAAAAGGAAAACGGGAGTAGGGGGAAATTGGGCGTGGGAAAAATGAGGGGTAGAAGCCATTTTCCTCTTCCTCCTTTACTCGCTTCACCCCTTGCAAACTATTTTCAACATAACTTCCTCATATGATAATGAAATCACACGAGGCTGGAAGCTATACTTGCGTAGCAAAGCCGTCTTCAATCTGATACCATACCCACTCTTTGAAAACCAGTGCACAAAGAAAAAAGGGTCCAAACATATCGACGTTTTCCGGCGACTTTTTCCTGATTCGACCAACCCTGCTGAAACCTAGCCTCGACCCAAGTGAAAATAATTGTTCTTTCACAGTGGGCTCTCCTCTAGCGTAAGTTTTATTTTTCCAAGGTGTTAACTTTCAGTTTTGGGATCAGTCCTTGATTTCAAATTTTAATTTGGTATTCTGCATGAATATTTAAGATGATACTTGTTGTATTGTTAAGGAGTTGAATCGGAACTAGGCAAGAAGGATTGGTTGCATATTTAGGGAAGAACCTTGAAATCCTAACCTCAATTTGGTTCTCTTTAGAAATGTAAGAGTTGGGTTTGTTTTATAAGTATCAATGTTATTCCCTAGTCGAGGCCATATACATTTGAATATTTTGTATGCCATATTTGTCCTGCACTTGAAGAACATTGTTGAATTTGAATGTGTTGTAGCCTAAGTTTGTGTAGATAATTAGAGTTCTAAAACTACTGAGTGGTTCTATATTTTTCCATGGCATTGTCAGATGCTGATGCTAAATACTTGATTGGACAATGCTATTACTAGAGTAGAATATGACTCTTGGTTTTGGTCATTGATTTATTGGTGGTTCTTTATTTCATTCTTTCAGCGGATGAAGAGCTTAAGACTGCTAGGAATTTATATTTTATTTTGAGGCACTTGGATAAACAGTTTGGTTTTCTATGTTAATCATTAAGAATCATTGATACGGTTTGGCTGGTGTACTAGTTACGAATAATTATTCGAATGTTATAGTTTAGGGATTTCATATTATTCTATGGCCAGAGAACTAGTTTCTTGATATCAAACATTATACCTATTCTCTAGTTGAATATAACTATGTTCTGAATTCAAGATCAATTTAATATGGTAGATCAGGTTCTTGTGGTTCGTTTGGCATGCTTATTTGATTAACTAGTGCAAATAAATGTTATCAAATTTAGTGAAGTTATAAATATATTGGATTCTATGTGAGGTGGTTGTTTTCAAACTATATGCTAAATACATAACTACTTATACAGAGAAAACCTAGGCAGCTAGTTTTATTTGCCTATATATCAAATATACGTATCTTCCTCACTCAATTTCATTATATACTCCAATTGGATTAGTTCTAACGAACCATTTAATTTGCTATAACTAGTCCAGCTAGTTATTATTAGATTATAGTTATATTGTTGCTTTTTTATGTACTATTGACTTTGTATTGTGGTATACAATTTGAAAGGGGTATGCTTATAGTAGTTGATTACAATTATATCTAAAGTATATTGGTAGTAATGTCATGGCTGGTATAGATATCAATAGTTGATAGATCCAATTTGGTGTAATTACTATTCGATTGAGTACTTCACCTTTACACGTATCATGTTGTTTGTTTAAATGGTAGAATGATGTTCCATTAAACATATATATCTATACGCATGCCTATACTGAAACCAAAATCAAGTTGATGATTCACGTTCTGAAGCTATATGTATATATGTCTCATATGCCTAGACAAGCGATACAAAGAAAGCATATAGTTTGTAATAGTCATTATGATTATATGTTTATAATGTCTTGTGGTAGTCATAGGAGGTAGTCATAGGAGTTTAGTGAAGTGGTGAACTATGAATGACTTGATTCCTTTTTAGGGTACGTAGGCAGTCTAACGAGGAGGTTAGATGCAGCCATAAAATAAAAGAAAATGACTATGTGGTTAAATAATTGATTGTGTTGTGGTCTTGTCTCGGAGGCGGGACGTGATAGATAAACAGGAATATGGTGATGTCACGTGTCGATCTTAGACGTATGTTGGGATCGGGGCATGACATTTTTAATTTGGCTTGTGTTGCTTTTTTTTATAGAAATATTGTTAGTTGTTGGTTCACTTTATATGTATATGATTTTTTAAACAATTATTGTGTTGTTTTACAAATACTGTGTTACATTTTGTCGTTGTGTGTTTAATTTTCATAAATAGTGGATGTAGTATTATAATAGTTTGTGAAACAGTTGTTATTATAATACTTTCTAGCCTTTTTAATTTTGTTTGTGATGTTTTGTCTTAGAAATATTGCTAGTTTTTGGTTCATTTTATATGAATGTGATTTTCTGAAACAGTTGTTGTTTTGTTTTACAAATATGAGGTTTAGTTTTGCAACAGATTATTAAATAGTTTTTGTTGTGTTTTATATTTTGTCTTTTTTTGTTATATGTATATAATGACACACCTCGACCGAGATCGAGGCATGCTGGCCGTCACATGAGGGTGACGTAGCCATGTGCACTGTGCGGAAGCACTAACAATAATGGAGAGTACAAATAAATAAGAACAAACTTAAAAGAGTACTAGCTAAGATAAGTGCTAGGGTATGAGTGAAAATACAATCAGAGCGTAAGTAGCCTAAGTTCAGTCCATAAAACAAGTATTAAACAAACGACACCCAAATATGTCATACATTGTGATAGTATATTAGAACCTCCGTTCAATCCTCGTGAACCACCAACGAACAAGCTTACCTAAAACTTGGAGGGGCGCAAAACAGAAAGTGTGAGTGGGCAAAAACAAAACTTTTCAAAACCATTTCATTTATCAAATGCTTTAACCCCTAGCCGTAAAACATGTATAATTTTCCCAGAAATAGAATAAAATATATATATTTTAAATCATGCTTCACATATCTATATTCATAAGAATGCCATGCCAAATATATAACAAAATGAGTAACTCAGGTGAAAATAAGTTCATGGAAAAACATCATATTAGTACGGTTTAATTCATAGCTCATTGAATAAATCTAGCCGGAGTCACCAAAGGTGACCTATACGGCACTACATCTGCACATGAGTCGGAACCACCTGTAGTAGTCTGTATGACAGGACTGGGTGTAATATAGTTATGCTTAATGCTACACTCTCATGATAGCTGTGTAATAAATCGCTAGTCGTCTACGAGTCGGAACCACCTATAGTAGTCTGTACGACAAGATTGTACACCTAAATTAGATCCAATGTGAGCATATGGTGCAAGATGTGACATTATATACAGGCATGTGCCAT